TTTCTAAAGTTTCAAATGAAACACATGCACCTTTAATAGAGTGAGTACTAAAATTCAAATTGTCATGCTAGATGTCCAATTTGAAGACTTATTACCCAACAGTTATGAGGGATGTGACTAATGATAAATAAGTTCAAGTCATAAAATCTAGGGATTTGTAGATGTTCTTGTTAAACTCATAGGATATAAATGGATCTACAAAAAGAAAATTATGTATAGATAAGAAGGTATCCGCCACCGACCAAAGCTCTAATGTAGAGAGCTAACCTACTAGTTGGCTTACTTGCTTGTTAGAGGACTAGTTGGGTCGATAGAAGTGGTTCAATCTAACCTTTGCATCGATGTTTGGCATTCTCAAGACAAATGATGATTTTCTTACTCTCATTTTCTTTCACAAGGTAAATAGGCTGAGATTACCTCCTTCACTATTCTTGAACAAGGTAAAGCATATTCAATAGCTCTTTGATTGACTCCTCTCCCTATTTTTTCCTTCATTGAACTCGGTAAACAGGAAGGAAAGACGAAAGCAAGACAAGATGAATGATTACAGTGAAAGAATCAATGAATTAGCTGCTTTTCAAGACTCAAGAGTTTACGAACTGAACTACTGAACCTGAACCTGACCCTTTAGTAAATGAATGAAGAACCTTTACCGTCTTTGTCTTTTAGAGTCTATTATTATTCTCTGATTTATTTTTATATAAAATATGTTAAATGAATATTTAAAATTCTTTTGTGAAAAGAAATCTAAGAGGATGCATCTACCCATATTATTATATGGATTTATTATTAAAAATCAAAAGCCAAAGGTTTGCTAAAAGAGTAAAAATTCATTTTTGAAATGAATTTAACCTATCTCTATCTCTTAAAAATAAACATTTAAGGACAAACGATAATATTGTCTCATGTGTATTATATTGACAAAATTGTTGTCAAATATTTGATGCAAGACTTCAAGAATGATAATGATCATTGAAATATTAAGTCATAGTATCGTAAGTAACCTCAAATGTTGAGAGTATGATTAATTATCTTTCCTGAGTGGGAGACAATTAATGCGTATAGGAGAATTAACGTTAAATATACAGTTAGTTGGATTATATTAGTTAAACTAATGATATGACCATTAAGTAAAAAATTAAAGTTTTCTCAGAGTATCGATGGATAATGAGAATTTTTCATTTTGGGTATGGAGTTAAAGATTTGATCTTTAAGTGATACACTAGTTACATAAATTTAGAGAAATTTATGTTGAGATCAATTTTACCTTAGATTGTGAAGTATGGTATACAAGCATAATATTTTTTGCTTGTAAAGCAACAAAATGACTTGTATGACTATAATAATTTCTTAAACATTTGAAAGGTGTTTCAGATATGATTTAGTCGGTCACTTTTCATTGTAATGATAGTTACACAAAGACTAATATTAAGGAAACTATAAAAGATCAATCTATAAAGAATGATATTGAGAGAAAGCATCGCCGTAGTGACCAAGATGACTTTTAATGATAATTATTTTGATTTATATAAAATGGTTCTAGGCAAGTGGGAGAACATGTTGGGTATAGAATATGCCCTAGGACACATGTCTCACCCGCTTTAGTGCAAGTGGGAGATTGTTCGAATTTATGCCCCAAACCCTCCTAATTAATTATTTAGTTTTTAACAATAATTTTTATTATTTTATTTGTAATTCAATTATTATCCCTGATATAAAAATCAAAGGTTATTAACCTAAAGAGTCTATAGTATATGGATAAGGTTGGGTGCCTTATCCTGGTAACACTATTGATACGACCCACTTTGTAATCGTTACAAATGATTTGATCCAAATCATTTATGTGGAAACATGTAAGTGGGGTAGGTGGACCAATAAATATTTAATCTCTCTTTATAAATCCGTTAATTGAGAAGATTAATATTTCACATGATGATCATATGCGACTCGATCTTAATCCTGAGTGAGTTATGAACTCGTGTCTGTGAGGGCTTGTCCTTTAATTTACATGGGTAAGAATGACTCTTTTAGCCGATTCAATATGCCTACCATTTTGGGGACTTGACCAAATAGGGAGTTGGGAACATAATATCATAAGATGAAATTCACTCCCTTCCATATAAAGAAAGTAGATGAGTTGTTCTTCAAGTACTGATTCCGGGATTTGAACAATGGGAACCCACCCTCTCATTAGTCTGAGAGAGACTTGTTTTATGATTGGATCATAAACAAATTGTTCATTAGAGAATCAATTAAGGTGAAAGATGTAATTACAGGGGTAAAACGGCTTTTGAAAGAATCGACTTGCTTGTAATGGTTATATCAATGGACATAACTTATTCTACAGTGCATAAGAGTGCAACTCTAAGTCGATAGTGTTGTGACTTTAGTTAATGAATGAAAATTGTTTTATTAAAGAGTTTGATTAATTAATTTTGTATCATTGAAGTTTATAATCGATAGATCCATAAGGTCCCTTGTTAGCTCATAATAACGCTAAAAGGTTCAATTTACTTGAAAAAAATTTGAAGGTTCAAAATAGTATATTAGATATAATAAACCCAAAGCAGAAAATAAATTTAATTTGAAATGTCAGATTAATATTTAATATATTAGATATATTAAATAAATAGAGTAAATATATTTAAATCAAATATATTAAATATATTAAATAAATAGAGAAAATATATTTAATTTGAAAGGTCAGATTAATATTTAATATATTAAATATAAATAGAAAATATATATTAATTTAAAGATTTAAATTAATATTTAATATATTATATATATTAAATAAAAAATATATTTATTATATTTGATACAATAAAATATTAAATTAATGTATTTTGATACCTTAAATAAAAATATATTTAAAATTTGAATAAGATTTAAATTAGTTAAATATATATTAGGATATCTTATCATATCTAAATATGATTTATTTAAGGTATTATATCCTAATATATCAAATACGGAAATATATTATTTGACAAATATTCTCCAAGAGTTCCTATAAATAGGACTCTCGGGTTGAGCCAAAGACATATGATCTCTCCCACATGGAGAATGAAAGTACATCTCCAGACAATTCTCGAAGCTCTCTTTCTCCAATTCCTTTGGGATTTTCTTTGAAAAGGCTCCCACAAGTCTTGACCTTGTGTTCGAGTCATAGTAAGAAAGATCTTGTGGAATGTTGAAAAACTTCTACATGGTTGGAATACTCCGAGGAGTCTTACAAGCTAGGGTTTCTACAAAGGTAGAGTTTTTACTCTTGTATTTATTGCTTTGTTTTAATTCTTAATAAAAATCAAAACAGTTGACAATGTTTCCGCTACGTGGATGAAGAGTTCATTCCCTTCAAACATGTTAACATAGTATACATGTTGTGACATATGGAGGTTCATGCATCATATAACCTTCATATTATAGCATAACTCATATCATATCATAAATCGTCACATAACATATCACACATCAAATATCATAACATCACAAAATATGACACGTATAAAGGTCATAATGTACGTGTTATTCATACAACATACAAGTCATTAAACCAAGTATGTGGGCATCCAACAATAGAACTGCTTACTTGGTTGGTTTAAGACAAGGTCATTACCCATCCTTGATGCTAGCTTAAAAAGTTATCATTGAACTCAAATTTCATCTAAGGAGTCGTGTGATTATAATTTAGAATTCTATTATGGTAATTGACTCACCTCATTTGCATAAAATAATCTAAAAAATTATCTATAAGTAATTTAAATTGACAAGACAGTAGTCATAATAACTTTAAACGTCTTTAAAAGTGTCAAAAGACGTATCTTGAAGAGTAAAAAATGGTAGTAAAGAATCTAAACGTATCAAACCTAAATCAAATGAGTCAAGTTATAGCCATCAGAGTATGAATCCTCTATCTCTTAGTTGTCAAAATAGGATGAAACTGAGCAATTTTAACGACTAAGTAAGCTAAGGGATCTTCTTTTATGTTAGAGTTCACCTTTCGACTTTGAAAAAAATGACAAAATCTATTTACATGACGTAATAGAGTATTAAACCATTTCCTATTTATACTCGCGTCGTTTATATTCAATGGAATGACATTGTCCACTTTGAGCATAAACTCTCATGACTTTGCTTTTAGTTTTCCCAAACGGTCTCATACCAAAGGAGATAGTATTCATTACTTATAAACCTTTGATCATTCCCTTAATTAGCCAACTTGGAACTCTTCCCCCAACAATTCTGTCCTCAAACAAAATACAACATAGAGCATCTCCTAAGACCTATGGAGCCCTCGAACATCCTTCTCTTAATTGAGACTCAACTCCTTCTCTAGAGCCCTCGAACAAAGTACACCCTTTGTTCGACACGAGTCACTTATGACTACACCTTTGAGGCTCACAACTTCTTTGTTCGACATTTGAGAATTCTATTGATATGACTAAGTTAAGGGTATGACTCTGATATCATGTTAGGAATCACGAAAATCACATTAGTATGATATTGTTCACTTTGAACATAAACTTTCATGGTTTTACTTTTAGTTTCTCCAAAAGACCTCGTACCAATAAAGATGTATTCATTACTTAAAAATCCATAATCATCTTTTTAATTAAATAATGTGGATCTTCTCTCCCAACCATCCTCTAAGGTATATGAATTCATGAATAGAATCTTCATTGGCTTCATCTCCCCCTTAATTGTCTTTTTTGTGGTATCACCCAACAAGCCTCCAATCTTCGACAAAGTTCACGAATTATTGAGGATATGAAATCGGATGGGTGATTATGGATATTCTTGTATTTTGTTTTCTATTCTATGCAATTTGATGGTATGGAACGCTCGGAATATGACAGCGTTGTGTTGAACTATTCAAAAGTGACGTAAGCGTCGAGCTTCAACTGTGCTATTATCTGTTGAACCTTTTTCATGAGATCTTCAATCTTTGAGGTTGGGTTTGATTAGCTGAGCTATTCATTCTCTAATCGAAGAATATGATTTCTAAACACTTTCAAAAAATAAAGTTAGAAAGTTTTGGCTAAACTTCTTATGTTTAGCGAATCGAATTTTCACACAATAGATGTTCATTGCTATGAGTTGAACAAAAGATCAATGATTCGTGGAAAACTCTTGAAATAAATCAAACAATGATTTGAAGAGCTAAGTTTTTTAAAAGATTTGTTTTTTTTTTTCACAAGAGAAGGGACGTGTAATTTTAGATCCGTCCATTTTTGTAAAGGAAAGATTGTCTATTGGAAGAAACTATTTTGGCAAGTAGATTCGTTTTCTTCAAATTCCATCCATTTTTAATTGTGTTGATTTGGGTTAAAAAAATAAATATTGAAATTGCTGACCTACGCCCCTTCATACATCTTTAGGTGCAACTGCGACTCATATTAGGTGCATTTGGCTTGGGTTTACTATTTGGATCCCGCTTTTGCTGTTCGGACTCTTTCCTACCATCTTTGGCCGTTCTGAAGCCAATTTTGACGTTAGATTCGACACACAAATAGTGACCCTTTAAGTTAACTATTTACGTAGTCTCCTGTCCCTACTTAAAGTGGGTTTATTCTACACATGATAATGACTCACAATGATTCATTCATGTCACAAGCGATCTCATAAGTTCTTCAAATTTTTTCTTTGGTGTCATGGAGATTTTCTAAGTTCTTAGGATGTCTATGTAATTTGATTCTCAACTATTGTTTCTAAGACGTTTAGGACTAGCTCATCAGCTAGTCTATATTCTGGGTGCACACAGGTCTAAATCTCTGATTGCTGCTTATGAGCCTAGAGTGCTCAGTCTACTGAAAATGTGCTAACCTGAGTTGGCTCGAAATCGCTCTAGGTTTTATGCCCTAGTCTTAACTTGGTTCTCTTGTACATGCTTTACTAGGAAAATTATCCTCTTAAACACCTAGTACATGATATATATAATCAAAATATTCGTGCAAGTTTATTAGAGAGATATCTTATCAATCGCCTAAGCACTAAAAGTAGAAACTAAAACATTTGCAAACAAACAAGCTCAACCAGAAGCTAGAACACGTCACTGTAGAGCATCCTCCTTTCTAGCACAATGGAAAGCATTTAAAACAACATTTATCTTAAATCTTACATAGTATACTCATCCATATTACTCGTATCATATCATATTTTAGTCATGCATATTTTCTTTCTATCTCTAGGAAAAATTTAAAAAACAACATGCATTCCAAAATCTTACCCTAGCAATATATCGATAATTTTCCGTATCATACATACAATGCATTCTCATAAAAAAGAAATTACTCTTCTGTAGTCCTAACATACATATTCTAATCACCTAAGGTAAGAAGCACTTGCATGCTAGCACATCCTAATAATCCCTACAAGTATTACTTGCCTTAGTTCATGTGGTTATTTATCCGAATGTAGCATGCTTGTAGGTCGTTCATAAAAATAGAGTTAGTATCAAAATCGGGATGAAAAATAGTCAAACAAAGGTCAAACGAATAAAATAGCATTCATGCGCTTCACATGTTGCAAGGGAGTTCTACACTCATTTTCACGCATGGCACTACAGGGGTAGTAATAGCCATAGCTGCATGTATTTATTAGACCAGCAAAGCAGCAAAGGCTTGTATCAGTGATCCCCTGAATGCTAGAGAGATCCCAAACCAACACTTTCACTGAAGGGTATAGACAAACTTTAGAAGAAACTGATGTTTATTCAAGAAAACATTGAGACAAATTAATAGAAGATCTGGTAGAAAATGTAGGCCACAACCATGTCAAAATAGAAAGAGTTCTAATCACGCTAAGATTAGATCAGCTTCAATTTCAAAGCAATAAAAACCAACGAGTGGTGCAAAAATACTATGGACCAGCTGAAGTCATAAGAAGGTCGGGAAGACATCATACATGATTCAATTTCTCTTATGGATGCAAACTAATCCTGTTGTCCATGTCAGTAACTTGAAGCGTTACTATCCTAACCAGGAAGACACTAAGCACAAGAAGGCAGTATGATCTCCCGCTACGAAGAAAGTAGGAGAGATTCTAGCTGATAAGATGTGAAGAGTTGACGAACCAAGAATTGATTTTCAATAGTTCATGGTAGATTAGAAGTGGCTCTTTAATTTGAGATCAACTGGAAATGCATCGAGAGACTTGAAGTCAACCTTATCCTACATCGCTAAGTTCACAAAGAGTTGGTTGACAAAGACGTCAACCAATTGAGTGGGTAAGGATGTCACGGTCATATTTTTCGAAGGCGTGTTTCTGTCACGACTAAAATACCTAAGAACTACAGGGGATGTGACTAGTTGTCAATTCTTCCTACCAACTTATACGCTATCAAAGTTGTGGTTGTTGCTTATTTGCTTTTAGTATATAACATTACTTTCTTTCAAGTTGTTTTCAACTCATTTCTTCCCTCACATTTTATGAAATATTTAATCTCAAATGTGACTCGAGGCTCGATCATACGTTAAGATTGTCCACAAAGTTCAATTTTCACATGACTGATTTGTTCACTAGGTTAGAACAAGTGTCACACAATCACTGTCCTGCTGCCACAAGAGTGCGATTATGATATTTGGCAATCCCAATTATTAAAGTGTTATAAACTAACTTTACTACTCTTCCAAAATCTCTCTTTTATAGATAGTTTTAAAGGCAATCTAGTTCATATGCAGTCTCTATCTCCTAAGAAGGGTCTGGTAATGGCGTATAACTCAATTTTTTATGCGACCATTTCTACAAGGACTTAATTTCTTCTCTTACATCACAATTTTCACAAAATTATATTGACTTGTAGAGTTGGAATACAATATCACTGCCTATAAATTAAGCTTAGTACACAAGGTTGTTGTCATGTCTATTATGATATGATAATAGTGTTTTTATAGATTTACCTACATTAATTTCAATTTTAATCTTACTTTTTCAAGAAAAATATTTAAACTTTAGTTGCATTTGATAAAGATACTTATACATTAAATAATTATCAATCACATCGATGAAATATTCATAATGTTCTTTTAACTTCTACATGAATTCCGAAATAATGCATAGGTTTTTAAGTTGATGGTTCTGACTTTAGAGGGTCTGTCATGTGATGTTCTACTCTGTTCATAATAGCCCTATCACAAAAAATACATATCATTTCTATGCTTCATAACATCATAACTAGATGCCATAAAAAACTTTTGGTTAGTCGAAGTTAATATAAACCATAAAACATCATAGAAGGTATAGTAAGGGAATTTTTTGCTATTTTACCCGTATCATTGGTTTATACTCTAAACATGCTCCTATAACCTTCAAATTTAACATGCATCGTGAATTCACGGTATAAGGCCATAACACTTGTAGGCTCTCTTCAAATTCAGGACATGAAAAGGAAGCTCTCATTGTCTTCTGTAACAGCTCTAAGATCACCAACTTTGACTTGTACAGAAGCTCCACAAATCTTCATCTAAATTTCGAGGTCTTTTCCATATTTGATTCTCGACCCCTCCGACAATCTCAACTATTGGATGGCTTTGTGACAGTTCCATGTACATTTCATATATTAGAGTTGAGATGACCAAATTGGTCTAAGGTATTGTGTTTCTTTTAAGGTTTTAGCCCATCCCTAATCTATTTTCATTCCTATACCTTTTTAAGAAATAGGTAAACATTAATGTCTAGAATTTGACTATTAATGTTGGAGTTAGTCTAAGAGGCTAGATTAACCTTTTGGTTTGAAAGTACACGAGTTCAAATCTCAATAATAATTTTGAAAAATTTCTTGTGGATCCTTCAAAATTTATTGTGGGATCCTAATAAGGTTTAATATTTTAATCCCTGAACCTTTATATAAAATATGGATGGATACATTTATCAATTTTAAAAATCGAAGTTGAAATGGATGTGGTTGATCTAAGGTGCCAGATTAAGGTTTTAATTTGAAAGGGCCTAGATTCAAATCCCTCTCTCAACGATTATTTTGAGAAATTTCTTGAAAATCCTTATATGGATTTAGCAATTAAATATTTTGATCCCTAAACCTTTATAAAGACTATGGATGAATTAATTTTTTTCCAAGCATCAAAGTTGAGATGGCCGAGTTGGTCTAAGGCGCCAGATTAAGGTTCTGGTCCGAAAGGGCGTGGGTTCAAATCCCACTCTCAACAATTATTTTGAGAAATTTCTTGAGGGTTCTCGGCTGAGTTGGTTTAAGGTGCAAGATTAAGGTTCTGGTTTGGAAGAGTGTGGGTTCAAGTCGCACTCTCAATTTTTTAACGTTTAATATTTTGGTCCCTAAACCTTTATAAACAATACACATAGATTAATATTTTTTAAAGTATCAAAGTTGAGATGGTTGAGTTGATCTAAGGTGCCTAGGTTCAAGTCCAACTGAAATTTCTCGAGGCTCTTAGATGGATTTAGCAATTATATAATTTTTTAACGTTTAATATTTTGATACATATGGGTTAATTTTTTTTCAAGCATCAAAGTTGAGATGGTGAGTTGGTCTAAGGCGCTAGATTAAGGTTCTGGTTCGAAAGGACTTGAACCTTCTCGATGATCCTTATATGATTTTAACATTGATGGACCAAAAATGATTTCCCACATACTTTGAGAGCCTATAACTCGTGCTAAAGTCCACGACAAAGTAAAAATTGATTTCCTAACTTCTTTTTTCCAATATCATTGGCATTAATAGTTGGCCATCTCAACAATGGGATTTGAACTCACTCTCCCTTTCGAACCAGAACCTTAATCTAGCGCCTTAGACTAACTCAGCCATCTCAACTTTGATGTTTGAAAAAAAAAAATTAATCTATCTGTATTCTTTATAAAGCTTTAGGGATTAAAATATTAAACATAGAGGACTCTCAAGAAATTTCTCAAAATAAATGTTGAGAGTGGGATTTGAACCCACGCCCTTTCGGACCAGAACCTTAATCTAGCACCTTAGACCAACTCGGCCATCTCAACTTTGAAGCTTGGAAAAATAATACTCCATTTGTATAAAAAATAATATAATTGCTAAATCCTTTCGAACCAAAACCCTAAACTGGCACCTTAGACCAACTCGGCCATCTCAACTTTGATACTTGAAGGAAAAAGAAAATTAATCCATCAATATTTTTTCTAATTGATTGATGTTTCGATGATAACAAACCTCCTCTAACTTAATAACCATTTTCAGTATTTTGAACGGTTGGAAATAACTATTTCAACGACTTTTTAATTACTGAAATCAAAGCTAAAACGAAGATAATACTATCAAGACAACATATCGATGTGATGATCTGACAGCTAAATCAAAATATGACACATATCATTTTGAGAGAATAATAAATGGTGGGGTTTTTCTTATGTGTCATATTTTGATTTAGCTGTCAGATCATCACATCGATATGTTGTCTTGATAGTATTATCTTCGTTTTAGCTTTGATTTCAGTAATTAAAAAGTCGTTGAAATAGTTATTTCCAACCGTTCAAAATACTGAAAATGGTTATTAAGTTAGAGGAGGTTTGTTATCATCGAAACATCAATCAATTAGAAAAAATATTGATGGATTAATTTTCTTTTTCCTTCAAGTATCAAAGTTGAGATGGCCGAGTTGGTCTAAGGTGCCAGTTTAGGGTTTTGGTTCGAAAGGATTTAGCAATTATATTATTTTTTATACAAATGGAGTATTATTTTTCCAAGCTTCAAAGTTGAGATGGCCGAGTTGGTCTAAGGCGCCAGATTAAGGTTCTGGTCCGAAAGGGCGTGGGTTCAAATCCCACTCTCAACATTTATTTTGAGAAATTTCTTGATGATCCTTATCTGATTTAATAATTATATTATCTTTTAACAAATGTTTAATAATTTTATCCCTAAATTTTATAAAGAATATAGATCGATTAAGATTTCTAAACAAGATTGCTCACAACTTTGATGAACCAATCAAATGTTAAGAGGTTTGTATGTAATTGCCCAACAAGGTGGAAAAATGACTCGCCAAAAATGATTTCCAGCCTACTTTGAGAGCCTATAACTCGTGATATAGTCCACGACAAGGTAAAAATTGATTCCTAACTTCTTTTTGCAATCTCATCTGCCACTTTTATGAAGAAATCAAATGCCAAAAGTTACCGGGTGAGAATAGGGGAGACCAGTTTCAGACGTATCCCATGGGTGCCCCCATCAGACCTTCCTTTAGTCTTTCTCTATACTTGTATGAATTGGTTCGAAATAATCCAATAGCATAAGTTAACCAAGATTTTCTTGGAAATTAAGTAAGTTTAGATTAACCCACTAAATGGACTCCATTACTTATGAGAAATGACATATTAAGGTTACACATGAAATTTGGTAGTCATTGGATAACTTTAAACATCAACATGACTTATGCTCGCTTTATGGCCATAAGCGTTATTATGCTACAAGTAAGTATTATTATGTGTTACAAGCTTTATGGTACACCTTAGGTTAGCCCACAGACTTCCAAGTACTAAGAGTTCAAGCTTGTTTCTCCAACCAGACCCTAATAACGAGTAGGGGAAAAACTTAAAATTCCAAATCACCCCGCATGCATATGGGTTGTGTCAAAGCTATGTCAATTGGTTTCTTGACACCCAAGTATTTTCGAAGAAGACCACAAAGGCTAATAATGTCATAGCTCGATTTTCTAGTTTGTTGGAAGCACGAGTTACAATTCAGGTTGGCTCGACCGTGTAAAAAGAGTTGCCATCAATTTTTTTTTTATGAGATTTGGTCTTGAAGGGAGAGAATTTTCAGAAGAATTCTAACCACCTAAATTTTTTTAGGTAACATAAGATTGTCATGCTAATATTGAAGGTGGAAATACTTCATTTAAACTTTCGTAAAAAGTGTTCTCTTAAAATATAGTCTTGGCCTTTTGTGTTTTGAAAACACCTTTAAAACGACACAACAGAAGACTAAATGAAATAAATAAATGTTTAAATTCAAAACATCCTATCCTAGCCTAAGTATAAGAAAATAAATGTGACTACTCTATGCATGTGTCATGGTCTCGAGTTGCAATGTCGTCATCAGCCGTACAGGAATGTCTTGCCTTAACTTGAAATAGAAATAGCACGTGGCTTGAGTATTTAAAGAAATACACAGTAAGTGACCCGGTTATTGTGGTTAAATGCAATGACGGGACCTATTATCCTAATGGGCAACTTGGATGTGTACCATATACTCTACACATAGCCCATACGTGCGAGTATGGACTCACCAGTAAGTTCGTACACTGCTTGGCTCCTTTCCTTGTCGGGCGAGCATGCTATAGTAGCTCTTTATGTCGGACACCCGTTAGAATTAGTAACCATCACGACAGCATTATATAAAATATAATGATAGTTCTCCTGCTTAGTGGTGTACGCGTCCCTACTCTCGTGATAGTATAGTGGTATCCCCCAATGCATGAACCCACGTAATGCATGAGATCCCAATATTTTTCAATTTTCAATATTATTAAATATAATCCCGCTACCGTTTTTCATTCATATCATATCATTTCTCATTTTTTCAGTTCTCATATCCTGCATAATTCTAACGGGGTTATATTTCATGTCATATCTCGTGATATCATGTCATTCATAATAAATATGTTTTATACATACAATTTAGGAGACATAGCATAACTTTCTATGTTTTTAACATAACATTTCATGAAGTGCGATTCATACAACAATTATCTCAACCGTCACATAAAACAATCTAAACATAACCTATCACATCACAATATATCATATTATAAGCATGTCAATTTATATTATATATAGTACTATAACATATTTCATATCATTTTCATATCATATCACAACATATATATATATATATATATATATATATATATATATATATATATATATATATATATATATATCCGTTATTCACATTTTGTATCATAATCATATCATATCGTAAACACTTCGTGGTCATATCACTCCCTAACTTATCATAGCCTTAGTGTTCTTATACATATCACAGTCATATTGTTACAGGAACCTTAGTCATATCGTTACAAAAACGTATTTTAATGCTATTATTCTATCAATCTATCATAATCATCTCCCTTTCTACCCATCACCTAATCGTATTCTTTTATCAATCGATTATGGTCATATCGTCTTTATCAATCTCTTATATCCATAGCACTTCGATACGTAACATAACCTTAACGTTTCATGAACATATCTTACTTTTATCGTTACATTATGTTTAGTGCATCCTTCTCGTATCCTATCTCAAACATATCATTGAACACATCGTACCGTAGGTATTATCATACAATTAACATATTATAACATATACATATCATATCATACGCATATTGATCCATAAACATTCACACATATCAATATATATGATACGTGCAGAACGACGGAGCACATGTCAACATCAAATATAACCATATCGATAATAAGGCCACTTACTTGAATAGCCTTAGCCGAAGTTCTATCTAACTCCAAATTAGCTTTGCTTTCATCCCTCGAATTCATTCTCACTTATGTCAAGGCGTTTCTCCCTATTTTCACCGAATTTCTTCGATAATTAGAATTCCTAAACTTTGTTAAGTATTTAATAAATTCTTAATCTTCCGATTTAAATTTAATATTTTTAAGGATATAAATATGTCTAACAATACCATGCTTACCAACTTACCATTTATTAGATAATATAATTTCATAATATATTTAAGAATTACTTTATAAATGAGAATATATGTTGTTATTATATTTACTAGTATCAACTTTTACTCTCTGTTTTTTCATTATATTCTTTTTTATGTGTTTATCTTCCCTTTTCTTTTTCTCTCGGTATAATCGGTGTGTTTTTATTTACGTAACATTCGATACGTAATCAACTTTTACTCACTTCGATACGTAACATTCTATCATAAATACACAAAATGCATCAAGCCTCCACGTAATTTTCATTTTTAAATCATCTTTATGACACAACTCTATACATTGTTCACACATTACTCTAAATAACACGTAAGCATTGACTTTCATACATTTATCATCATTAATATTAACTAGGGTTGTGTCTTTGAAAACTCGTCTACATTGTGCATCTTGACATTTAATACATCCACATCATCTTAATATAAAACATCATAATGTGAAGTCATTTCATCATCATATATCTCACATTATCTTGTTATCATGCGTCGACATCATCATATCATCATTTAACATCATCATTTCCTCATATAGCATCACACATCATCATATAACATAAGATAAGTCATTTCATCATCATATATTCCAATGTTGTTATAAAACTATAAATAACAAAATACAGATATTTAAGGACCAATTGATAGTCTAAAAATAAGGAAAATATAATGATCTTGAAATTATAAAAAAGAAAATTAGTTTAAAGAAACCCTGCCTAACAAAAATAAAAATATTTTACTTACTTTAGAAAAAACTTATTTATAGGGATAAAGGGCCTTCCATTATTCGAAAAATATAAATTGTGATATAACAATGTATACTAGGTTGCAAGAAACCTAGAATAAATAAGTTAAAATTTAGATTTACTTATATCGAACCAAATCTTTAATTTGTTAAAAAAAATCTAGTCATCAAACGTTGGTTGATAACTCGCCAGAGTGTGTTATTATAATCCCCTTCCTATGGATGGGTAGTAGTTGAATACAAAGGGAGACGGGACTCATGACTTCCCACTGGGCGAGAGGTGCACCTACCCGAAAATTTCAATTTATTTTTTTCCTCTAAAGAAGTATAAAAATGATTTAAAAATACGATTAGCTCTGGCGAGTTATCAACCAGCGTTGACGCCGTAGAGAATTCAATTATGAGGATTCACTCCTTAGAACAGGAAAATTAAATTGTCTTAGTTCTAACTCTTAAGAGATATTACTATAAATATATACTAAAATAATTGGGCTCGGTCTTTGATGTAGAACTTCTAAAATAATTAAGAATTCTAGTACATGTACTAATTTTTTATTCGGAAGTTACTTTAAACATTGAATGGTCAAAACATTTTAGGTAACTTTCGATAAAATTGGTACTTAAAATCATTTACTTTTTACAAAGCCAATAAAAAATGATGGGTAGAAAATAAAAAGAATTCTAAAAAATCTTTGTTGCTTTTCAACCGACACAAAACATAAATTTCCCGTTTAAGAAAATGCATTTAAGAATTTGTAAAATGAAAATAAGATGTTTTTAAAGTTGCCCGACGCGTCTCCCCCCTTTCTAGTCGTCGCGTGTCCATCGTCGATTGCCTGAATTCAATAAATATCCACATTTCGATCAAATTGCATAACTTGAATTAACTCGATTCCTTCACGAAAATTCAATATCTCAGTCCAATCTAGATATATTTTTATTACATTTTTTTATATTTATAGGCCTTAATAAATGAGTTCGAAAATCAAAGAAAAATTAGTTTCTTACCGAAGTTGGACAATTCTCGATTTCGATTTTCGACACAATTTTTGTCACATTTCCTTCGAAAATTTGCAAGAATCCTCACCTAAGTTATTGTAATTGGTTATTAAGACCTAAATCATCAAAAACTCACAAATCTACGACGAAATCCCGAAACAAAAGAGGTCGTGGACTTACCTCGAGTTCTTGCCCGTTTCTTGTCGGAAACAAACGATCCAAACACTCAGCCCGCTCCTCTTGATCCTCTGAGTAGATCTAGAGGGAGACCTTAGATTGAAAGTGCTTCGATGTTCAGATTTGAGCGTAGAACCTATCTTCCTCTTCTTCTTCTTAAAAACCTTAACTCCTCTTTTTCTCTCTCTCTCTCTTTTCTTTTCCTTGCGGGTCGGTCTAAACCCTCTTAAGAGTTGTGTGCGGGGAAAAATTACTCTTTTGCACCTAGTTGACTTTGACCTAAATTTTTCATTAAATCACCATTTTTTTTAAGTTTCCTAAGCTCCTTGATGTGTCCGAGCATCTTTTCCTTCTAAACTAGTTGAAAATCATGCTCTAAGACCTTCAATAAAACTAGAAATTCGTAAAAGTTAGGAGAATGCTTTTCATAAAGAAGTGCAAGTTTGTACCTATGGAGCTTGGGGTGTTACAAGCTTGAACTTCACTTACATTACTCCATAATGTGCTTAAAAATGCATATCAATGTAGCTTATTCAACACAATAGTGGTGGAACAGAGTGAGTTAATTTGTGTACCTATTAAAACCATAATTTTTTTTAGTAATTCATCTAGTCAGGATGCATAGGAAGGAACTCATGATCTAATATAAAAGACTACTAGAATATTCTAGTCTACTTTGGAAGGTTCATAGTAGAATAATTTCCATCATGGTTAAAATTTAAGGTAATATAAACGTACTATTCCATAAACGAATGTATGTAGTGTTAGTCTGGTTAGGACTGAGTCCCACATTGGCTAATTTAGGAAATAATCGTTGGTATAATTAGGAATACATTTGGTATGAGGCTTTTTTGAGAAGCCCAAAGCAAAGCTAGAGTTTATGCTCAAAGTGGACAATATCATATCATTGTGGAGAGTCCGTGATTCCTAACTTGATATCAGAGCTATGCCAATAAAATTCTTGTTAAGGATATTTAGTAATAAATTATAGTTTACCATATACATTATATTTGATATTTTATTATAAGGCAAATATCTAATATTTGCCTTATTATCATAGTATCTTTCCATTTATTGTTATTTTCATTTATTACTATTTCCATATCCTTATAATTTATTTGATTATAAATAAGATAACTTTCACACCATTTAGGTGTGGTGGATTAATCAAACATTCACATGATATCAGAGCCCTTTCGGTTTAACAACCGTGATTTTTTTTTTTCAATGGCTTTTGAATCCTCTAATCTTCTTCTCCACCACCCCTGCTGGTTTTGACGCCGCAGGGGCAGTCTTCATGGCTGCCGTAGTCGGAGCCGATTGATTACTCTTCGGCTCCACCCTATTGACCTCCAAATCACCTTTCGTCATACTCTGTACATACAACCTCACCTTTTCCAACACAATCGGTTTTCCCCTTGGCCAATATAGTATCTCTCATTTTCTTTCCAATCAACCTTCATCCTTCACATAAACCCTAACCTAAACCTATCAACCTTTTTGCAGAGATTTACCTTCGGAATCTGGGTGCCGCACTGGCCTATTCGCCAACCAAGTTTCAGCCGCCCTTCCTGCCAAAATTGGCTTCTTCGCCCGATGAGACGACTCTTCCGACTGCCCTTCTCGCCAAAATTGGCTCCTTCGCCCAATGTGGCGACTCTTCCGGCTTCAACATTGTCTTTGTCCCTTGCTCTAGGTTTCCCCTTCTACTTCTTGGGGTTAGAAATATTCTCACCAGAGCCAAAGCAGCATCGTCGCTAAGCGACAATCCCTCTTCATGGGTTAGACATATTTTCGCCGAAGCCAAGGCAGCATCGCCGCTGAGCGGCGATCCCTCTGCAATTTTTGATGGCCAACAACCGGGTTGTTAGCATCTTCATGAAAAGTGTTTCTCAACCTCTTTGAATTTTTCAGATTCAAGCTTAACGTTCGTTTAAATCTGACGCTTAGCTTGCGGTGGGGTGTTAAGGATATTTAGTAATAAATTATAGTTTACCATATATATTATATTTGATATTTTATTATAAGGCAAATATCTAATATTTGTCTTATTATCATAGGTATCTTTCCATTTATTGTTATTTCCATTTATTACTATTTCCATATCCTTGTAATTTATTTGATTATAAATAAGATAACTTTCACATCATTTAAGTGTGGTAGATTAATCAAACATTCACAATTCTCAAATATCGAACAAAGATTGTGAGCTTCGAAAGTGTAGTAAAAAAGTGACTAAAGTGTCGAACAAATGATGTATTTTGTTAATTAACTAACAAGTAGTAACAAATAGTATGTTTCTTCTTACCGAATTGAAATAGATTCATCTAAATTTCACATAAAAAGTGCAAAGATCAATAAATTATGAACCTAGTTGCTTATTATGGGGGTGTTACAAGAAATAATCTTGCTATATTACTATGCCTACCAACTTCCAAACTTTACATGTGATTAGGCAAAATGTCTATAATGGAGTAAGAGTTGAGGAAGGATTCGCTCTGTTAACCTACATCAAAATCAAAGTGTTTTTATAATGAACCTTTCATCTTAGCCTCACGAGTCAAACATATGTTTTAGGTTAGAGAAAATGATGCCTCCAATTAGTATGTCTATTAAAAGTACCACAAATAGGCTTTTATGACTTTGATATGTACCATGGACAATATGTTGATACAATGGTTGTCAATGAACAAATTCTTAGTACATTGGAAAACATTTATAAAAATACTGAGATCACGTATGCAAGACAAGACATTGAAGGCATTTTTATTTGAGGAACAATTCACGACATTATATAAATATTTTTTTGTGAACACATTATACTCTATAATATAATATTTATTTTGTGACCGTGCTTTCTGATTGGTGTGTAAATGCATTAGATTTTTTTTTTTTTTTTTTAACTATTATCTATCAATATTTATATCAAGTTGGAATGAGGAGAGATAAGCTACATCCTCAAACCTAGATCACAAAGAAGATATCTTGGGACTAAAAGTCATAAAGAAGAAAAGATCTCTAACACATAAATAATTAAAAAATCTCCAATTATTACTCTTTGTGAACCCTTTACATCGAATGTTAATGAGAATACAGTTAAACGTAGTCATATTTCAATTTCTACGATAGACTCGTGCACAAGATTAGTAATTCGTAGTCAAATAGAAGCTTCTTATGAAAATATAATGGGAATAGAAGTTCATGTAATTAGTAAAAACGCACTTGAACCAGCAACTCTATCAAAGGGAAAAAGATGTCCTACAAAGATAAAGACAATAGTTAGTGATAGACCGTCTAGAATAAACTTATTTCTAATGAATATGGACAACATAGGGAAGGAATCTGCATAATCGATTTCGTTTCTTTGTCCACTCATCAAAGAGGTTGTACCCGTGACTTTAGAGAATGAGAAGAAATGACCTACAATGCTGAAATTAGTATTATGGAAGTTTATTTAAGTATGAAATTATTTTAATTCATTTCATAGTTTTAATCAAATGCGTAATTTTGCTTTTAACCATTTGGAACTTTAGTCAAGTGATATGAATCCAGAGACATCAATCATACAATATACTTCAATGAAGATGTGAAGAAAATATTGTTGAAATCATCAAAAGATATTTCGATTCATGTTATAAATTTTGGGTGGATTACCATTTAGAGTAATTATATTTCATTAATGTATTTTAAGACTTTTAATTTACTTTAGGTTGCAATTACATAATGGTTAATTATGGTCATTAAGTATGAATGTTGCAACTCTTGGAATGCTTTAATAGTTTCATTTTGTGGCTATATAAAGTCATGTATGTTCTATTTGTAAGTAGACTTGGAAAATATAGTAAAAGAAGCATTTGTGCTCTTCTTTAGCTGATGGCTAAGTTTCTTTGCAATTCTATGTAGTTTAGGATGCATGTAGAATCATTCAAGCTCGACATGATCCATCTTGCTTGTGGAATGATTCGAATCTCAAGCAAGTGTTCTTGCCTTGAGATATTTGATCAACAAGAATCATTCAAGCTAGACGCGATCGATCTTGCTTGTGGAGTGATTTGAATCTCAAACAATGTTCTTGCATTGAGATATTTGATTAATAAGGTAATCTGAATCTTCCTCCTCTTGTAGTGATTTCTAAATATCATCAAGATACAATGTGAACAACAATTGACCGAAAAGGTTTATTTTTCAACAAATGGATAAACCATAAAGGGGTGAAAAACTCGTATGGTAAAACAAATTTGCAATGTCCCAACAAAAGATGCACTTCTACAACTTATGTCGGATAATTTGCAATCTGTAGATGACTAGATGGACTTTATCGATGAATAAACAAGTATAAACTCTATGGTAATGAATATTTATAAATCAGAAAAATGTACTATGATATTTTTAAGATTATTATATATTTTGATATAAATGTTGCATGTCTTTAGATTGAGTAGTTTAAAAGTGAAAAGTATAAAGCCATGAAAAAGAGATAACTCCCTCATACAAGCTTAAAAGTACTGTATTTGTAGGAGCGCATTGAACAAGCCGAAGTTGAGACAATAACTTCAACAAATAATGTTGTTGATGATGCCTTGAATAAAGTTATTGAGCCTAATCGTGAGCATCTAAGAAGACTATGATTATGAGTAACTCATTCTAAATTATCTCACATTAATTATTTTTTCGACTAAATTATTGATTGCATTATTATTGTCCAATTTTCATTTTCTTTTAGTAGAGCATAACAATCCTACTCAAATTAACTGCAAGTTATTAAGAGAGATTTTTGCAAAAGGACAATAGTTTTCTATGTCATATATGTATAATAGTTTCTAAATTTTATATATTAAAGATGACCAAATTGGTCTAGAACATATATTTTGATCGGTATAGTTTGTTAAAAAATCTGTTATTTTACAATTTTAAGTATTAACGTTGAGATGACCGAGTTAACGTAAAGCGCCAGATTAAGGTTCTAGTCCAAAAGAGTGTAGATTTAAATCTCAACTTTTATCATGAAAATAATTTTATTTTGAAGTTAAGATGACCGAGTTAGTCTAAGGCGCTAGATTAAGGTTTTGGTCCAAACTTAGGTTTTCTAACAAAACAAGACCGTGATAACGATATATATATATACTCCTTCCAAAAAATATTTTTAGCCAATATACTTCCAAAATATATATTCTCTCTTCTATTGTTTGTGTTCAGGAGACGAAATTCACCACGATCTGTGAAGATGAAAAGTTCAAAGATTAGAATTCAAAAGTTTAATGGATCCGATTTCGGTTTCTAAGAATCACGGTTCCAAATGAACCTATTACACGATTCAACACCAAGAGATTTAAAAATGTCAAGAACATGGTTCAAACCTACGCACTAAAGCCCAATAAATTTCAAGTTTGTGTCATTGGCCACTCAACCATATCAATTGTTGAAAAATTTTATTATTTTTAATTTTATAAATTATGTAATAGTCGAAGGGTCAAATTGACTCCGTCTTTTGTAGGCATTAAAGGGGATCGGGATTAAATCTCGGCCACAAACGTCTTTTGTCGAGAAACTATAAATACCCACAAATTGTCATGTAAAAATCAGATTCGTGGTTGAATGAAATTGAGACGTTTCCCTTTTGTCATTTATAAGTTTCAATCGATTCTTGGGTAGAATTGCATCCGAACCATTCAATCAAGATCAGGTTCGATTGTGGAGTGACTCAATTTAGAACAAGGTTCCAAATCTTTCTACTAGATGTTCAATCGTAAGAGGTAATCTAATTCTAACATTTTGATTCTCTGTAGATCTGAATTTTGTATAAGGGTTGGTAATTACTTTGATTCCAGGGACAAGAACTTCGAGTTAACTCATTCCTATTCTTCTATGTTTTCAAGAGACAAGAAGGAGCTAGTCAGGAATAGAATTCTATTCGAAACAGGTGCCGAGCCACACTATATTTAAACTATTTTAATGTTCTAAATGTCGAGAAACTATTTTAATAGATTTGTAAGTAAATTTTCTTTAGAAATATTTTGTCCTATTTTACATTCTCAATTTCTATTTTATTAATCGTGACTCGAAAAAATTGAGTGACCTTGTAAGTTTTTCCTGAAGAGTAGTTTAAGGACTCGTTAGAGAGTAATACATCTTAGCATTCACTATGGGCACGATTAAGAGTCTACAATTAGACTATTTGCGGAGGAGTCTGGTACTCACTCCATATGCTTCATGTTTTTAGATAACTAGGAATTACTCGAAGATAAGAGTAGATTTGAAGTAGCAGCCATAAATCAGCTACCACTACCTCCAAAATTGTTTGGTTGTTTTAAATGTTTTTTTCATTTTTCCCACGTTTTGTACCATGAACATATAAACTCTACTTAGTTTTTTTTATCTCACGAAATCATGTTTTTCACTTTTTTTAGTCATGATTCATGCTTTGAGAACGGTAAAAAGTCTAGTCGTGACTATTTATATATATATATATACACGCATGCATGCATGGATGTATGCATGCATGTACACAACCCACTTTCCTCATTTCATCCATTTCCTCCGCTTCCTTCCTCATTTCCAACCGTGTCAAACCAAGTATGGGTAGACACCAGTCAACATTGTGTTTGGCTTGTCCATCTTCTTGATGGTAGTGGCGTGGGCCATAGTTTGAACCTATTGTTGACCTCTTCGATCCCCTCTGGGCAAACCCTAGTGGTTCGTTGGCATCCTGCTTCTTATTTGGATACTCAACAATGAGGTGGTCGCTATAGTTGCACCAAAAACATGTATTTGTACTAGCTAGATCTGATCATTGTGCTTCCGATCACGTTTAAGATATAATGGTTTCTCTTGGTTCTGAGTAAGTGTATGGTCAGATGAAAGTCTCACATCTGTTAATTTAAGGAAGGATTGTGGATTTATAATCAATGAATACTATCTCCATTGGTACGAGGCCTTTTGGGGAAGCCCAAAGTAAAGCCATGAATACTGAACAGTGGACAATATCATACCATTATAGAGAGTCGTGTTCATCTAACCGTTAATTCTCCTTCTTCTAGATCCCTCTTCATGGTTGATGCTATTTGCATTCGTTTCACTAGTTTGGCCTATGCATAACGACCCTACTTTTGACAAAAGATCACACTGTTAGTACATGCATGCATGAAAGTTTTCTAAACATATTTAAACGTAAATAATTAAACCTTAAAATTTTCGGAATAATGTTTAAATGTTTAATTGGGATCTAAGCAAATTAACACTAAAACAATCGTAGATTGTTAACATCAAACTACGTTGTTACATGAAATCCACAGCATAAAGCGTTACCTATTAGAGACCTCTTGTTTTTACTTGAAAGATATTAAGGAAAAGATTAGTATTTTAAAAGCCTAGTAAGTAATGTCAAATGCAAGCACATGCAATACAGACTAATGGGACTTAGTACTCTACTGAGAATATATGAATTTACCGTTTTTCTCTATACACGGGCCACACACATGCATATAAGCCTATAAGGTGTGCAATGTAATCCTACTCTCTAGGCCTGAATATGAGCATGTACTCTCACATAGTTGAAACCATAAAAAAGGAAAGGGACACAACTAAAATAGTATTAATTTACACATCCTTACGAAGCATGATTGGAGGAGTACTTCATGACCAAATTATCACACCACACACATGAAGTTTCACAATGAAAACCTATCATTCGGTGGTGGTATGGTACAACAACAAACATATTCATGCATAGTGTCACAACTTCATTGGGAGAAAGTAGATTGTGACCCCACACACATGAGAGACAAGGGGCGACCCTTAAGTGGTGTCCATCCGGCTATATTAGAGCCAAGATTGAGAAGTACCATGATGTGACCGAGATACATCATCCGAAACACCAAGAGTGTCCAATGAAGCTAATTCAAGGCATACGCAAGGTTCGAGAGAACGAGGCGACGCAAGTGTCAAAGATAAGCTCAAAGAGAGTTGGGTAGGGCCCCAGGCTATAACCACAGAAGTCGGAGTTTCGATATGAGTTTCGGTGTGCAGCTCGGAATTAAGTCTGTCAATATGGAAGATGAAAGCTCACCAGATTTGGTGTCAAACAGATACTCGACGAACTATGTACGAAGCCATATGTTCACTCTTCAAAATGATGTCTACTCAAGACGGATAGGGAATGCCTCAAAATGTACTACAGGTGATATGAACCACGACCAAGAAATTTTCATACCTCAAGGTCCAATTATAAGGACGAGAGCCAAGAAGCTACAACAAACTTTGTACACTTATATTCAAGCTATGGTGAACTTGTCAAAGATAATTCTAGAAGACATTGAAGACTTCCCTTGTATGTTGTGCAAAGTTGAGTTTCACGAAAAAGATGCATTAAATGCATTTAATGAACTCAGTTGAATTTATGAAACTAGTAAGTATGGTTAATAAGCACATTTCATTTATTGCATTATTTAATTATAATTTAAATATCTGTTTGTCATATTTAAGCTAGTTTTTAATATAGGATTTAAGATTATATGGTAATCCACGTAAGTTACCATATTAGTCATTAACTAACTATTTTAATAGGAAGGTTATGGGTATTTCTCATTAACTAGCCAATTTAATATGGAGGTTATGTGTCACATGGGTTAAGGTTTTAAAGGCTACATAAAGTCTTCCTTTCTTTGATGGGAGACATCAAATTTTGGAAATAAAATAATAGAATTTCTATTTTAGGTTTGTTGAGGGCTAAGTTTTTATTTTACAAATTTTGGTATTCAGAAATTGCATGCTATGCTACCGTCATTCAAGTGGTATTGATCAAACCTCTTATGGAGTGAGTTTAGAAATGAGTTTTCTTTACTATTGATCTTGATCATCAAGGTAATCCGTTCCAAACTTTTCCTTGGGTTGATTCCATATTAACCGGGGGAGGCATGGTGTCAGCTCTCCACCACCCTTAGGCCTTATGTCCTAAGCGAGCTACCTTGTGGCACCTGCGTGTGTCACAATGATGGCAAGCGTTTCGAAACGAATGTCTCAAGCGACTTCCTTTGAAATAGATTTTTCAAGGACAATACCAAACAGCAAGTGTGTCGGTATTGCGCCCCAACCCATGTACCAAAGGTTGGATTATCCACTAGCTATCCTGAACGTATGCCATAAATTGTTTAGCATGGACATAGAAGAGTCAGATGCTTGAGAGAACCCAAGTGTATGGATGTTTGGGATAGCTCGATGAGATGTCGACACATGGATCAGTTCCCAATAGATGTGTCTAAGCAAGCCAAGTTGACCGACGTGTCCCGAGGCATGGGATGACATCACGATGAATGGATCGTGTTGTTGAGAACCGAGATGACAATGAGATGCAACATTGTATCGCAATGATTGAACATG